TCATAGTGTAAACGTCTTGTTTTCCAATGGTCTTAGGCAACCCTTGTGAAAGGGTCATTAGATCCCCAAAGGAGTGGTGACCCACATATTGAGAATTAATGTGCTAGAGGAACAGCTTATAGCAGCTGGATTATCATTTCAAATGCTGTATCCCTTGACATGCATCTGTGGGGGACACATGAGACACCTACTTGGAAAAGATGACCATCAGCTTCCTCCGGCTTCTCCTTGGCTCTGAGTCCTCATCAAACCCATCCATGTCCTTCCCCAGGAAAACCTCCTGGTGGAAGTCCCTGTTCAGATGTCCATCCATCTCTAGTTTCACCCCATTCAAGTGGTCTGGGGGTAGGATCTCATTTTCCTCCCTGTTGGCTGCTCTTTCCCGAGTGGATGAGTGGTTGGCAGGTCTAGCAGATGCATCCATCAAGAAGACAAGGCCCAAGAGCCAGAGGCCATGAGCAGCCAGACCACAGAGGGAATTCTGCCTGGACGTCATTGCCACCAGCCAGACCATGGGACTCCTGCAAGGTGTGAACCAGAAGTAGCAGTAAGGAAGAAAGGGAAATCACAGCTCAAACTAGAGCCTGAGATACTACAAAGGTTCTGAGTTGCTAGCACTGCCAGGAAAGTTGAAGGTTGATGGCAGGCTCAGCCTGACAGTCTACAAAGAAGACAGACCAGGCCCGGTGGTAATGGCACATCCCAACACTCAGTGAATCTCTATGTGTTCGAGGCCAGCCTGGTTTACAGATCAAGATTCAGGACAGCCAGGGCTACACAGAGAAACATTGTCTGGGGGGCAGGGAGGGCATAATTATTTTATAACATGATTTAATAATCAGGACCAACTACATATTCAAGTGGGGTATGACGGCATTTATCTTTAATCCTAGTACATAGGAGGTAGTCACAGGTGGATCTCTATGAGTTCAAGACCAGTCTGATCTAACAATGTAAGCTGAGTCAGTCATGGATAAACAGTAAAATCCTGTCTCAAAAAACAAAATCCACAGCCGGGCGGTGGTGGCGCACACCTTTAATCCCAGCACTC